CGATTCCGGGGCGGCGCAGCTGGATGGCTTACACCTCTAGTCTTGATGATGAACTTATAATAATTAAATTCGAATTGAGTGTTACATTGAGAATATGATGAACTGTATCTTTAGCGTGAGATCAGTTTCTCATTTTTTTTTAATCGTCTTCAGTATTGTTGAAGATTTATCAATAAAACTAATCTATAAAATTCGATAAGAGAAGTCTAATTAAATTCTTCTCTATTCAATATTATGTACATAATTTTTATTGTTTGATTAATAAATATCGAAATGTTTATCAAATCTATCTTATTCTAAAAGTAGACTAGACTAGCTTCTTCATTTTACTATTAAAATTGAAGGCGTTAGTAGAAAAAAAAACAATCATCTAACTAATAATAAGGCTGAAAATAATGAGACCTAATTTTAGATGACTAACTGAGAATAAGAACAAATTTATTGAAACTGTAGCTTTTCTTTAGTAGAATTAAAATATTAAATTTCTAATTAACAATAAAAGAAAATATAATAAAAAAAGAAAATGAAACAAACCGTTTAACATCTGGTGAAATACTCATAAATTCTCGAGACCATAATTTCAAATTAGGATTTCGTACAAGTTCAAGAAATGTTATTAATAAACCCCATGGATGTGGACGATTAGCAACAAGTCTTTCAAGTAAAACTCTAGAAGCAAAAAATAAATAAATATTTAAATTTATATTTTTCACAAACAACATACCGAACAATTTGTTCTTGTAAAGCTTCAGAATTTGCTTCAGCAAATAAATATAAAAGTGTATAACTAAAATAATGTGTATGTGTATTTGGATATCGTAAGTGATTAGCCATAGCATTTAAAAATATATAACGTCCTTCAGTATCTAAATCAACAGCTAAATTTTGAAATATATCCATATGTGCTGAATGTGTTATTGATGACATTAATGGTTGTCCATTTGTTTTATTATTTAATGTTGATAATGCTTGTGTTGCAACATATAAAACAAGTGCATTTAACATTCTTATATTATAATGTGAACCAGGATCAGCACCTTGTTGTAAATATGAACGTAATTCAGATAAAAATGTAACTGGTGCACGTGTACGTAAATATGAATCAAGATTTTGTTTAAATTTTGGTGGTTGAATATTTTGTGAAAAATTATAAGCTATCACCGGTACAATTGATATATCATTAAGCATATCAACTTTAAAATTAACCAAAAATGGATCAGGACAACGCATATGTTTTGGAAATGCAGATAAAACAATATTACGTAATTGATGTGCTATTAATGGTAATGCATCACAAAATTGATAATAATGTTCACATAAAAATTCTGGAAAATCATGTAATAATAACATAAATGTTTTTAATATACCTTTAAAATAAACTTGAAATGATTGTGCATGTTCACCTGAACGTATAAATGGTGTTACTAAACGTAATGCATCAACAAGTAATAATGCATACATATTATGTGTTTGACGTATAAAACGACCACTTGATAATAATAAACGTGACATAAATGTTCGATGTGCAACTATTTCAAGCCAAGCAAATGCAAAACCAGGTACACGTTGTGGACGTAAAAGATGTAAACAATTTGTAAATGCCAAATAAATATAATACATTACATATTCATTTGCGGATGATACATCAACACCTGGTGTTGTACTAGATTTATAAAAAAAAATAAGAATATTTAAAATATATATTTCGAAGTTAGTGAAATATGAAATGAGAAATTATTTTTAAACTAGATTTTTATTTAGCATCGATAAGATGAAAGAGGAATATTTCTCTTGTAATTTGAAACTATTTTTTTAACTCATTTATAAAGAATATCGAAATAAAAATTATATTTACGAACTCTTCCGCATTTTTATAGGATATTCATCTTTGAAATTTTCTGTTATGCCCAAATATACTGTGTTCTTTTGTTTTTTGCATTAGATGATACGCCATAAAAATTCGAGATCTTATTCGTTTGAAAATTTCGTAAAAAAGGGTTAAATCATTATAAGTATCACATCCGGAAAATTTCGCAATACTTATTTTTTTTGATTGATATAGTTTAGAAGATAATTCACTTAAAATCATAGAATATTTAACTACAATTTTTAGTTCTTGATGTCTAGATACATCTGATTTTTATCCAGTATGAAATTTCAAGGAGGCAATTAGAGTTGATCTTTTCAGAATTCGTGATTATTACCATCTAGAAGATTGCTTTTCTAATATCTAGAAATTTCGTTTTCTTTTTTGCTCAATAATTTTTAAAAAACTTTTGCCTTGTTGTCAATTTAAATGAGTTATCTTTTGTATGTATTTACCCTCGTAGAATTTTTATTTATTTTTTTCTATTCTCCAATACGATAATAATTTCATTTGAACTCGAAACTAATATATATATATATTCTTACTTTGACATAGTTGATGTAACAGCAGCTGTAGATTCTTGAAATAGATTAAGAATAATTCTTTGATAAGCCAATGGATGAAATTGATCACCTTGTTCTTCATGATCAGCAAAACAATGTGCAGCTAAAATTCCTAATATACGATTAATTAAATGTATTCGTGCTCCATAATTATTAACATCTGATGTATGTGTTGTTAAAAGTGATAAGAAACGACAAAGTGAATCAATTCCTTGATGACAACGTGTATAATGTGCTTGTTGTGTTGTTGTTGTTGATGATGATGATGATGATGATGATGTTATGGATGGTGCTTGACGAATTATATCATAAACACTATTAACACATAATTGAATTGTCATACGAAGAAATTTAGCTATTGTATCATCGGAACGAAATAAACCTTGCATATTCATCTAAATTTAAATAAAAAATAAAAATAAAAATACTTCTTCTTTGTACATAACAAAACGATTTTGACCAAAGAACAGAATATATACATAAAGGTTTATAAAGAAAGATTTTCTTTTTTTTTGTATTTCGAATAGTATAAAGTCAATTCTGTAGTGTTGAGATATCGATAAATGACAATAATTACTAACATTTGAAAACGGTACCGAATAGAATTTAATAATACTTTATATTATCAAATAGAAGAAGTTCTTGTTGAGAAAACTACATATGTATATATGCGCTATTCTTTGATCAAAAATCTTATAATCATGTTTTATCTTTTTTTTTACTTGATTAAAAACTCCTTGAAATGATTGTTGTTGACTAATACGATTTGTTTGTGTCATTGTTAATGTAACCCAATCACTTAATATATGTTTAGCTTTATTAGCTATTGTTGTTGTTTCAATTTCATCATTTGATGTTAAATATTTATGACCATTACTTATAACTGATAATGATATAATAGCTAATTTATCAATTTTAGCTGTTGATTGTGTATTTGTATCATTTGTTGAATTTGTTTCATTATTTGTTGTTAATGATGTATAATTTAAACGTATTATTTCAAGTAAATCTCGTACAGCTTCAGCTGGTTGTTTACCAATTAATGATATACGATGAAGTGAATCAAGTATTGATGATATATCACTATCAACACAACATGGTTGTTCAATAACACAAATACGAAGAAAATTAACAGCAAAATGTAATGCTGGATTATTTCCTGAATCAATTAATTGTGCAACATGTGTATCCATTTGACGTATATCAAGTAGACGATTACGTAATAATTGATTAACAGCATAAACATTAAATTTAAGTTCATTAGGACATTCTAACCATGCTTTAGTTAATTGTTTATTAATAAGTGACATATGTAAACGTATTTCAACAAGTAATTTTAATACACTCATATGAACATTTTTAAAACGTTCTAAATTTTCACCATCTTGTGTTTGTGATTGTAATGTATAATGTTCAAGTAAATTATAAATAATTATATTTAAAACATTATTTAATGCAACTTGTGGTGCATTTGGTGTTGTTTGATTATGTAAATTAGTTCGTAATATATTAACATTTTCTAATAAACGTTGTAATGCATTAGCAAATGTTTGATTATGTTGAGTTGATATAATTTGATCAATTTCAGCTATTAAACGATCCCATACAGATGGTCCAGTTTCATCCATCTAGATGAAGAGAACAAAAAAAATTTTATTTGTTGTTGATTATAGACAATAAATTTATTCAATATAAGAATTTGAAATAACAAAAAATTGTGATGTTGGACAAGAAGCATGATGTCTATTGCTTCTGAAATTACTCCATACTGCTATTGCAAATTGTTCTCATACGGTCTCGTTTTTTTCGGGTGCAAACATTCCTATGTCTTACTCACTTTTAATGCTAAGTTACGTCTATTATCCTGCGAGAATGGAAGAATCATTGATTTTTGCGAGTTTATCAAAGATGAAGCTAGTTTTCGAGAATAATAACAACTGTCAAGATGAGTTTTTGCTGATAGGGAAGACATAGTAAGACTTGAAATAATCTGGAATGAAACAGTCTGCTATAAGCATTCATATCAAAATTATGACCATCTCAACTAGATTTCTTATTCTGAAATAAAGTAATTCGCAAAAAAATTTCAAATTAAAATGATGTAGATAATCAAGTTTTATGATTCTTAGATTATCCGAAAAATTTCAGTTAATATAAATGTTTTCTTAGTGATATATTGAATATTCATGAACGATCATATTTCCTAGAAAATGTTAGTTAATAAATTTTTTTTTTTTTTGTCAATATTCATTACTTGAAGAAGATATTTTATATGAAATACCTTGCTATCAATGAACACTCGAATAGGAAAGCAAAGAAGAGCAATTCGAATGATGTCAAGTTTTTTTTTTAAAGTCACATTGAGTATTCATTATCGAAAAAACTTCAATGGAATTGATATTTAATGTTTACAACTCAATGAAATTTTAAAACATTTACTGGAAAACTTGAACAGTACTTTTTATTAATCACAAAGTCTGGGGTAATTATTTAATCTCACTTATGAAATTCATTTATCAAAATCTCATATTCATATATCATAAAATATTTTCTTCAAATAAAAATAAAAGTCAAATTACCGGAACAAGGTCACGTTTTTCATTATCACTTGGTTTAAAACCTGGAATAAAATGAACAAAATCTTCATAAATAGCTAATTGATGTGATGATAATGGTCCATAACGTAAACGTATAGGTTCTAATAATCTATCTGACTGAAATTCAGCTACACTTGTTGCAGTTGGTAATTGTCGTCCTTCTAATCGACAACGTTGTCGAATTTCAATATCACCAGCTAAACGTTGATCAATTAATTGTATAGCACGATGTATTGTTATACGTTGTAATAGACAACAACATAATTCAATATTTGATGCTGCTATTTCTGTTGCTGCTTGATGAATCATTTCACGTGTTTGACTCGATAATTGATCATTTGTTGTACCATTTGTTGTTGTTGTTGTATTCGTTGATGACGATGATGATGAATCATTATTATTATTGTTATTATTATTATTATTATTATTATTATTGGTTGTTGTTGTTGTTGTTGTAGAATTTGTTGATGGTACTTGTGGAACACCAAGAACTGTTTGTAAATGTGTTTTAATATATGATTGTATTTGATCTTGTAATGCTGGACGTGCTGTTATAAGTACAAGACCACTACTTAAATAAGCAACCATATTACGTGCTGATGTACGTAATTGTTGTTCATCAGGATTTAAAAGAAAATCTTTTCGTACAATTGTTTCAGCTGCACTTGTTGCAACTTTAAGTGAACGTTGAACTGTTTGAAGACTTTCATTAATAGCTTGTTCAATAGGTGAATGTATATAAGTTTTAAGACGTGGATGATGTTGAAAAAGTAATATATTTGGATTTATTTCAAGCATTGAACTTAATGATTGAAATATTGATGGTTTAAAATCAGATAATTTATATTTAGGTACAGGTGGAAGTGTTGATGATGTTGATGATGATGACGATGATGATGATACAGGTAATGTTTGTTGTTGTTGTTGTTGTTGTTGTTGTTGTTGTTGTTGCATTGAAATAGGTAATATAGATGATGTTGCTGTTGTTGAAGATTGTTGACTTGTTGGTAATTGATGATAATTAAGAATAGCTGGATCATTATATAGAGATGATGATACTGTTGTTGAATTTGTTGATTGTTGAGATTGATAAACATGAGATGTTACACCGGATGATTGACGATTATTATTTGATAATTGTTTTTCAATTTTATCAAAATATTCTTTATTTGATAATATATGATGAATTGGAAGATCCTTAAAGATAAATTAAAACAAAAATGTTAACATAGTTCAAGATATATATATAACTAGTTGAGAAACTGTTGAATATTTAATAAGATGGAAATAATGAAAGAATTTCAGTTCTTTTGTCTTTCATGATGTATTTTTACTAATGAAATATTTCACTATAATGTTTCAATAATGTCAACGAAACTAGAGATAGTTTTATTGATTTTCTTTGAACTAAGAAGAAAAGCTTCCTATCTAATTAAAGTTGTTTTTCAGTCAAGACTAAATCCAGAAATATTACAAATTTTTATGATATTCTTTAGTAGAACGGAACGATTTCCTTAGCTTTTTTTTCTAACTTCGATTTTGCCCAAAGACAAATCTAAACGAAAATACTTGATCGGGTAAGTTTCACGTCTTTTCGTTGTTCCCATTCTAAGATACAACATTGATAAAAATGTGTTTCTCATATTACTGGTATCTACTCGAACATTCGATATGCTCATTTCAGGATAGAAAGACCTGCAACTTTCATCCTAACCTATTGTCCGTTGAGGCAGCATGTACACAAAGTCAAAAATCAGAGTTCCTCAAGAGACCACAGCATTGCTTGTAAAAAGCTAACTCTTTACAAGATTCATAACTCCATAGAGTCTACAATACAATATACATAATCCCCATTCAAAAAGAATTCTTTAAATCGTACTCCAAAAGTTTCCGATACTTTGATATTGAGATCTCTGATATTTTACATCCAAAGCTCTCAATAGTTTGTACAAATCCAGTAGGCTACAAATATATGACAGATATCTACTCTTTTTCCCTTTATGCAAACATCATTCTTAATAAAACACTTAAAAAATTAATGTCTTTTTTTGTTTTCAATATCTTTTTTCTATTGATAAAACTTACATTCAATTGAATTTGTAATTGTCTACAAAGTACTTCAATTTCAAATTTTAAATTTAATTTGAAATCTGGTGAAGCATGCATTTCAGCAAGAACAGACATAATACCCATTAACCATGGATTGGGTTGTTGAAAAATCTATTTAAATTAACGAAAATTATTCATATAAATTAATGTATGTTTTTTTTTTGGTTGCGCGCATACTTTGCTTCGTGTACATGATTCTAAAATTTTTGCTACAAAAGGTATCACATATAATAATTCTTGTGAACCCATATGATATGCTTCAATAACTAAAGATTTGATTTCTAAATCCTATAAAATACAAAGAAAAAAAAAAATGAAAATTATTTTTGATTTATCTATAAACCGTAGCAAGAATTGGTTTATTTTTTGCTATTGTTATTATTCCAAGCCAATGACCAAGATTTTTTAATAATGCACGATCAGGGATATTATTCATTTGTTTATCACTTAATAAAAGAATCTAAAAGCAAAAAAAAAATTGAAAATATTCTTAGTTTTTATTTTTTTTTTTACTTTAATATTTCGATGTGTTTCAGTTAATACAGTATCATAAAGGATAAGAACATTAATTGTATTTATAAAACCAGCATATAAGGAATGAAAATTTGGTTCAATTGAAGCACGTTTCATAACTAAATATTGTGCAACCCATTTCCATAATTGATCATCATTACCTAAAACTTCTTTTAATTCTTCTGCCTATTAAAAAAAAACGAAACTCATTATTAAATAAAAACAAAAATTGTTTTTTTTTTTTTCTATTTATAAAACCTTTTGAGATAAATTAGCAAATGATAAATTATTAAATGTAAATGCAACTTTATCATTTATTTGTTCGGGTGGCGGTTTTACTCGTACAAGAAGATAACTTGGATCACTCATTAATGTTCGAATATTTGCATTTTGTGTTAATGATGGCTAAATAAAAATAAATCAAAATTTGCTTTTATTTTTTTTTTCTTCTTGAACAACTTACTCCTTTTTGTGCTGGATTTTCTCTTCCAACACCACCATTTCCAGTAACATATTGTTGTTGATTTGTTATTGGTGGACCACTATTCATACGTGGAAACATATTTGATGTATTCATGGTTGAATGTGATATTTGTGGTTGTGGACTAACTGTTGTTGGTGCTGTTAAATTTGATGTTGGGGTTAATGTACGTAATTGATCAAATTGTTGTTGAATATTTGTTTTAGTACCATATTCAAGATATTCACGGATATTTAATGGAATTTCAGAATAAGTTAATAAACTTCGTAAACCTTGTAGAAATTGTGGTTGTTCACGAATTCTAAATAATATTATTCATATATACAAAATAAATTATTGAATGAGTTTAGAAGTCTAACATATATATTAGTCAGAAATGTACAGGGCTACTCTACCCCATAGAATACGGTAAGGAATAGAAAATTATTTCATTAAGCATAAAACGTACGAAAAACAAAAAACAAAATTATTTTACCATAAAACCTCAAATGTGATTACTATTTTTCTATTTCTCACCTTTCGAGTATTTGTAGCTAGAGCAAGTTTGACAAAGAGCAAGGTAAATAAATTCGTAGTACAGATTTTTTCCAGTAAGTTAAGTGGAAGTATTAGAAAAATTTTCTTAATCAAAGTACAAAGTACGAAAAACAAAAAAAAAAAAACGTGTTATTTTTAGAAATCGATTTCAAAAACTTGTTTGTTTACATTGTAGTATAATTTTCAATGATAGAAAACATGTAAATTTAATTGAAAATTTTACAAACATACACAAAAAATAATTTACATATACAATTATCATTAACTTATATTCTATCCTATCTATAATCATTGTTTGTGTTTATATATATAAGATTGAAGGGTATCTTAAATATGAGGAGGGTTACTTCCTTTCGTTTTTTTTTCTTCCTTAATGTATCACAATATCTTCTTCGCTTTTTCTCGATGTTTTTTTTTTATGAGTTATCTTCCTCTTTTCGAATTTGATTAGTTCGGAGATACTTCTGATAAGATTTTGAATAATTTTATTACTAAAAATAGACTATTTATTTACTCAATTCGAATAATAATATAAAAAATCTCTTTTTTTTTTTCTTCAATAAAACAAACCTTATTTTACATCTATCAAGTGCTGTAATAGCAAAATTCCATAGATTTGTTCCTATAGGTTTTTTTAAACCTTCTAATATAGCACGATATGCAGCAATTAATGCTTGTTGTTGAAATAATCCACGTTCAAAAAGACCACCAAATAATTGTGCTGTTAAATGTAATTCACGTTCAGGATATTGAGTATAAAATTTATATTCTTCAAATAAATTTCTTATACCATTATGAAAAACATCCTTAAAAATAAAGAAAACAAAAAAAAAATTATTTGAAAACACATATTTTTTTTTTATCAGACTTTTTCTCGTTGAATTTGAGAATCTTTACAACGTGTCATTATATCAAGAAATTCATCAACTGATATTGGTGGTGGATTACTTGTTTTTGAATATAAACGTTTAAAATAAACATCAACATCAGCTATTTCACTCATTGATGTTGTTGTTGTTGTTGCTGTTGTTGTTGTTGTTGTTGATGATGATGATGATGAACCAATTGCTAATGGATCATTACCATTGGCATCTTTTTTTTTAATAAAATAAAAAATAAAGATAAAGAAACTAAATGATTGTTTTTTTCCTCACTGAGAAGATGTTCACTTGGATCCATCATCATTATTCTAATAAATACAATCGAACTATGTTGAACTTTTCACTTTCTTTTCTCTTTTTCTCTCGCTCGCGATTTTACTATCCCATAGACAACTATATACATAGACCCTGGATAAATCTGATCATATAATGTTAATTTCACTGTAATCGTTGCATGATTTGTTAATATATATATATATATTGTTTTGTCAAAAATACGAGTTATAATAGTGGACGTGTCGACAAATCTCTATTTTTCTCGCTCTGTGTCTTTTTCTCTCTCTCGATATATTTTTTTTTTTTCTTTTCTTTTTTCTATTCGTGTTTCTTCTGTTCTATTGCTGCTATTACTATTATTTCCACTCATACACGTATACAAACCAAAGTGCCTTTTCTCCGTATGTCTCTCGGCCGCCGTTTTTGTTTTTGTGTTCGATGGATGACGTACGCATTTGTTCTTCTCGTTCTCTCTCGATGCATATATATTCATTATGGCATCCTCTACTATGGACGATTTTGACGTGGCCGCGCGGCAGCACACGCTTTTATTTTTTTTTTCATATACAAAAGCGACAGTTACAAAAAAAAAAATAAACTCTTTTTTTTTTTTGTTTTTCTTACTTAGTAATGAACGAAGTTGAGCTGTTAAGGAAAGTCCATTGGATGGATTTGTAGGTGATGGTGTAAATGATGTTGGATGATGATATAATTGTTGAGAATTTAATGATAATGTTATAGATGCAGGTCTTTGTAATGTTGGTTCAGTAAGATTTGTATTTGAAAATAGATTTCCTGTTGTTGTTGTTGTTGTTGATGATGTTAATGTATTAAAAATTTTAGCTGTTGATAACATTGTTTGAATTTCTTGAATAAGATCATTATTTGTTATTGATGATAATGCTAATTGAAGAACAGTTAATAGAACATTTATTGTTTCAGCATTTATTATTGGTTTTAAATTTATATCATCTTTTGATAATGGTGGTGGTAAAAGTAATTGTGGAGCTTTTTTACGTAAATATTGTATTGTTGTTTGAACAAATAATTCCTTAGAATATAAATTTTAGATTAAATATTTTCTTTTTTTTTTATTATGTATATTACTTGATGTTCACGTAATTTATCTGATAACCATTTATCTAATTTTAAATAACCACGTCTTGATGCTAAACAAGCAAGATCAAGTATAAATGTCATAGGTTGTGCTGCAAGTAATGTTGGTAAAGTTTTTAAATCTTGTACAATTTCAAGTACACGACTAAGACGTTGTTGTTGTTCATTATCATTTGCTCGATTATACCAATCAGATAATGATGTTAAAAGTGTTGTACGTAATATTGTTGTATGATGCTTTAATAAAAAAATGAAAAAAATTATTTATTTTTGTTTAAATTTTTCTTACCTGTAAATTCCACATATAATTAAGCAATGGATTTGCATTAGGACTATTAGCAAGAAATGTTGGAATGATTAATAGTAATAATTCTTGTTTTAATGTTGTCCATATAGTCTTAAATTATGGAGAAAAAAAAAAACAAAAAATTTCAAATGAAACTCTGTATCGAAATGAAGTTTATTGGATGAAAATCCGATTTATAGAAAAATTTTTTTTTGAACCTAAATTCGATATATTCTTCATATATATGAGGTTAGACTTTCAAAATATGACATGAATGATAGAAGTACTTTTGTTATAGTTCGATGTTAAAATGAAATATTAGTAAAATAGTTGCAACTATGAATATTATTTAGATGATTAAAATATATTAGTGTTTTTTATTTTATTATTGTTGATTCTAATACAAAATCGATGAATATGAGATTTTTAATCAAAGATTCATACTTCTAATCTTCAGAGATTTTATGCTAATGCTTAAATCTCAAACTGCGATATTCAAGTTGTTTATTAAACATATGAATATTTACAAATACTAGAAAAGATTTTAAAAAGCTCAGGGCGACATAACATGAAAAAATTTAATATGTAACAAATCTATATGTAATAATGAAATTGCATTAAAATATCGTATATTTTCTTTGTTTCATTGAAGGTTATAAATAGTTTTTCTCTAATATATTAACAAGTCATGTTTCTAAATTGAAAATTTCATTAACATTAATATCCAAAAAATAAAAAGATTCTAAATTTTTTTACAAAAGTTAATCCTGTACGAAGATCCTATGTTTCTAAAAACTTATCATCAGTCGAGAGTAAATAACAGATCTGTATGCATTTTGATGACTAAAGTTATCAATAATATTGATTACAGTATTTGAAATGTTCAATACTAGAATACTACAAGTATCATTTTGTTAGAAAATAATCTTTTTTCTTACATTTATACTTATTGGATAAGATATTTCATAGAGTAATGAAATAGATCTCAAAATAATATTAAATTTTTACTCAAGTCTAAGAAGACGATGTCATTAACAATGAAAACTGGTTACATTACATTGTCGTAATCTGGCATTGCAGATAATCGAGGAAAACTATCGTCATTTTCTAGTGAAAATCATGGCTTGTAAAACATAATGTTGACTTATAGGTAAAATGCTGGGAAAAAAAATAATACACTAATACGTCGTTTTATAATCTTTTCGATCCCTTGAAAATCTTTTTAACCTTCACAAAAGAGTAGAGGCAATGACAAAGTCTTGATATAATATTAGTATTGTAACATAGAAGATGTGGGTGAAAAGAACAAATGTACTCACATCGACACCTTTGTTTTTTTCAAGTATCGAATTTTTTCTTTCAGCATTTCTACACTCAACTCATTGTTCTTTCTAATTATCGGAAATATAAAAATTCTAACTTGTAACGTTTTTAATAAATTTGAATAAGATCATTAACATATTTCTAAACAAATGTATTAATTTCTATTAAGGGTTCTCGCCCCCTCTCTTTTTTGACCGTTTCCGGTTCTCGAAGATGGTACAACCGATCAAGCTGAAATTTTCAGCACAGATAGACCATCAAAAATAACAAGATACGTGTTCGAAGAAAAATATTTGAAGTCAATTTTTTGCGAAGTTTTCTGGAAAATTCTGGTTTTTCAGAGGCCCGCATCCTGGTACATTACGACTCCCTCAAACTTTATCCGATTGGGCTGAAAATTTTTTTGGAGATTCCTAAGACTATTTCTCAGAGGTAAATTTAAGCTTTTTCAAAAATCTCACTTTCTTTTTTTTTTATAAGAGAAATACACCAAGGTTCGGAGTCAAAGCTCAGGTCTTAGCAGCCTTCAGGACCCTATAAATCTGTGTAGGAATGTCAAAAACGAAAACGCTCGATTTTATCTCTGGAGAACACTTCCAAGTATTAGTGGTAAAAATTTTAGCCCGATCGGACAAAGTTAGAGGGGGGTCGTAAGCAATCAAGTTTGAGAAAATTGTGGTTTTGCAATATGCTAAGGAAAAGAAAAAAAATTAGTAAGGTATTTAGAGCCGCTTAATGTATCTAATTGTACACAACACTTGAGGCTATGGTATCATATGCTCAACTCGAAATCGAGTTTTTGGTCAAAAAAGAGGGGGGGGGGTACCCTTAATGAACCTGTAACTTTAAGTTGTACTGTTTTCAAAAAAAAAACTAATCAATTAGAATATTCTTTGTTTGTAATGATAAAATTATATCGAATAGTTTCATAACTTACATGAAGTTGTAACAATCCAAGAAAAATCAATTCACCCGAACGTTGTATTCCATGTCGAAATATTTCTAATACAGTTGAATATAAACCTGTATCAGCAATACGTAATAAACATTCAATTAAATTTAATGAACGCCTATAAGAAAAAAAAAAAACAATAAGATAAAATTTATTATTCTTTTATATTTTAATAACCAAGTCCATGTTTCTTTTGTATCATCGAGTGGATGTTTGAGACAATCAATTAAAACAGGATGTGCTGGATAATCACCAAAACAAAAAACATCTGGATAACGAATAGCTTGTGCTAACCATGATAACTAAAGTTAAATAAATTGAATTTTTTTCTTTTGTATTTTTCTCTCTTACTTGTCCTTCTACATTATTCCAACGTCCATAAAGTAGATCAATATATAGTTCAACTGGTAAAGCTCGACGAAGTGCAGTAACAAGAAGTACTAAAGCTTGTCGATCACGTACAATAAAACCGGGATGATCAAGTTCTTTTACAACATCTTTCCAATTAACTGTTGGGACCTATTAATATCAAGTTTTTTTTTTGATTATACAAAAAAACAATTAAACATTGATTTTTATTCATACTAAATCATTAATTGCAAGAACAAATGTATCAACATTCCATGTTTGTAAGGAATTTTTTTCATTATTTATTGTTATATCACTACCATTAGAATCCTAAATATATTTATGAAAAAAACAAAATGATCGATTATTTTCGAATCAATATTTACATAAATATGTGTATGTTCATTAAGACCAGAATAAGTTTTAATCATAACAGAAAGCATTCGTGCAATTGTTGATGGTTTTAATTCTTGTAAACCAAAATGAATAAGTGCATTTCGACAATCTTCAACACCAGCTGTAAAATTATAACCCATTTCAAGGATAACATCAGCTAGAGAACCATCCATTTGCCACTGAAATAATAATAAAACAAAGTATTGAGAATAGAGAATTTTATAACAAAAAAAAAATTCTTTTTTGTTTTTCTTCTTATTTTCATACCACAGTTGTTGGAAGATTACTTGAATCTGATAATAATTGATTTGATGTAAGATCTGTTGATAAATCGTTAGATGAATAAAGTAAAGGTAAAAGTATTATGGAACCATTATTTCCTATTCGTTCTCTTGGATATTCTGAAATAGAAATAAAATTAATTTGATAAATATTGATTTAAAATAATTGTTTTTTAACCTTTTCGTAGAACATTAAGAAAATTTTCAAATTCTTCATTTTTAATCAATGGTCCCATTGAATCATTTGATAGATATTGTCGAATAAATAGTAAAAGTGAATGAAGTACTTCAATTGATAGATCAATTAAACCTGTTTCATTCATGCCATTATCTTTTTTTTTAAATAAAAATTGAAAAACAAATAGAATCAAATAATATAGAAATCATATATCGAAATTACATCAATAACAAAAGGCAAGTATTTTTACTCTTACAAAACAACAAATTTCTGTTGTACATGTTAAATTAATGAACAAAACAATATACCATTTCATAGATTCTTAAATACATGTCAAGAAAAAAGTATAGAGTAGTTTCAAAAAATTGATATTACAAATTAATTTTCGATTTTTTTTTTGCGTAAGGAAAACTTCCATAAAAAAATCTAAAATGTGTTTTGAATAGAAAAATTTATCTTTGACAAAGATTTGAAGAAAAATAAATTTTCCCAGTATTCCAAAAATCTAGAATAAAAACCCTAAATCTAGTTTTTCAACATACAGAAGCCAGAAAATAAAAACAGTTTCTATCAATTACATAGAACAACTGATTCTCAACAAAATATAATATCTCTAAGTTTTCCATAGCGTTTTCGGACAGATCTACATCGATACTAAGTAACGCCCAAATAATCTTGTAAAGAATTAGTTGCTCTGTAGTTCAATGTAATGAATAGATGTTGGACTTTCTAAGAATCATGTATGTCTCTAAAATCTTTGTTGGAAACAATTTCCTTTTTTTTCAAGCTGTTGCTCCGATTAGTTCTGTATTAATCAATTTCTGAAGCTATAGTCTCTGACAGTCAAAAAAAGAAAAATTTAACTCCTTACGGCGCATATGGGCAAAATGGTTTCAATGTCATTGAAATCGGCACCAATGTTTTTGCATTTAGATTGATATCTTTAAAATTTTATACAAAAATTACTGAGTAATGATCACATCGGTATTAGTTGTTATAATATTAATAGTTAAATTAATCTTCTCTTTTCATAAACAATAGAATTATCGAATACATAAGCATATACAATAGATGAAGTATTAGTCAGTAAAAAAGAAAAATGATGAATTTCTAACAGAGAGGATATAAGAGATTTTGAGCTTATTGACTCTGCTCGAAAAGGATATTTCATTTTTTGCTAATACAGAATCACGAAACTCAGTTCGAAAATTTTTCTAACTGAGGTCGGGACCAAAACCGATCGGTCAAACTCATCATTTATTCTAATCTATGTTTTTTTACAATCAATATTTTGTCTTTCATTCTTTTCAAACATACCACTGGATGCAATTCGAATAAATTCAGGTAAACGTTGTTGTATATGTTCGTGTGTTAATAATTGAAGTTCAGTATGTGTTGAGTTTTGTAAAGCAAAAACAAATATAAGTTCTTGTGCACGATTTAATTTAAATAATTTACATAATGATGATAAAAATTCGTTCGAAGATAATGGCAATTTAAGTGACTATAAAGAAAGAAAGAAAAAAAAACCATTTGAATTGTTTTAATATAATTATTCAATTTTTTGTTTTTTTTTTACTTTTTGTGTTATCGCCGTATCAAAAGCATAACAAATTAAAGTTACAAAATTTGGTTTAGATATTAAGAATGGAATTTCTTGTAACCAATAATTTAAATGAATATTTTCTGAACGTTTTATTAATGAACTATTTTGTTCAATTGATTGTAAATCAAGATATGATATTAAAGTTCGATATAAATGTCGTTCAGCTTCAAATCCATGTTCTGATACGAGCTGAAAATATATAAATAAAAAAAAAAAAGAAAGAACAATAAATTATTTTTTTTGAAAGTAATATATACATTAGCTATTTCGGCAAGTGAACTTTTGAAGTTTTTCTTTGATAAAGTTTTTATTGTAAATGAAATTTGAGCAAGTGCTATTGACACTGCATCAAGATTCATTTTATTTGAAATGACCGAAGCCGATAATGAAAATATTTGAGTCGGAATGATTAAATTTTTGATATAATTTGTTGATTATAAATAGAATCTAGAAACAAAAAATCATTTATTAATAATTAATTTCAATATTCATTTGATAAAATATAATTGAAAAACAAATAAAAATATATTTAAATCAAAAAAAAACAAGCAATTCAATACACATGATAGATAATGTCTAAGAACAGATAAATATGAAAAGTTAATTGTTTCTATTTGATTGTTCTTTCATGTACAATTGATTGGAACTATGATTGACAAATTATTAATAGTAGAAAAAATCCTCTACATATCAGTATTAAACATTTTTATTGATTATATTCGAATATGATGGATTTCTCTGTACAAGAAGATTGAATATAATTATACGAAATTCGCGACTCAATTTCTTCGACGATAGATGTCACTTCATAACAAAGTTAATAAATATCGTTCGAAAATATATACGCGAATTTTTTGATAGCAAAATATAACAACCAAACCTACATTAGATTCATTTGTAATGTTTTTCAACAAATTGACAATACTTTATACACGAATTGAACTAATTGACAGTTCTAGTGACAATATTAGTAGATGAGTATTTATGAAGTATTCATGATAAAAAACAAACGTTACAGAAGTTCACAAGTACGCAACTTGTAATCAAGGGTTTTTTACGAGTACTTCTACATAAAGGATATCTCATAATAACTGATGATAAATTGTTAATGATATTTTTCATACTTTTTTGTTGATGTAGAGGACTGAAGTTTTTATCACATGTATATTTAATGAAGATCTCTTATTTCTGAAAGTTTCAACTCTTTAGCTAAAACTAATGGTGATATATATTGGCAAGACTGAAATACATAAACTTTTGTAATAAATATTACAAGATAGTTCCATGAGTAGTCAACCATAAAATCACAAAATAATCAGAAAAGTTTCTTTAGTATCAAACTTTTCAGAGTTTTACTCGCTGATCATTTTGGTAATAAAATTTTCGAATATCATTGAGAAATGACGATATTATAGTCAAAACATTTATCGTATACAATATCCAATCGAGATCTATTCCTCCTATTCAGCTATATCTAAGATAATCGACTATAGGGTTTTGTAGAGCAAAGTTTCTTTTACAAAACCTGCCATGTCACATTTCTCCAGAATAAAGCCGTTTTGAATTATGTGAATCGGCTTTTACTTACATTTTACAATGTTTAGTATATTGCCTATAACCTCGTCATTTCTCAATGAAATTTGAAAATTTTTGTTACCAAAATGATCAGCGAGAAAAACTCTGAAAAGTTTGATAAGAAAGAAACTTTTCTGATTATTTTGTGATTTTTTGGTTGACTACTCATGGAACTATCTTGTAATATTTATTACAAAAGTTTATGTATTTCAGTCTTACCAATACATATCACCACTAGTTTTAGCTAGAGTGCTGAAACTTTCAGAAATAAGAGATCTTCATTAGATATACATGTAATAAAAACTTCAGCCCTCTACATAAAAAAAAAAGTATGAAAAATATCATTAACAATTTATCATCAGTTATTATGAAACACCTTTCCTGTATACAAGACATCGATATCTTTACTAAAATTAAGTTTATTATATGAGTACCATATGTTTGATAGTGAAAAGTAAGTGAAATCATTCTTCTAATTCTTTTTTACTTGAAGTACCGATAAATGAGCTGACATTTCCACATACATACTAACTATGGAATGAAGGTGTGCCAAAAATATCCTATGAATCTATACTTGTATCTTTGAGAAAGAGCTCACGTTGCTTTTTAATAATCAATTTGTATGTCAAGAAAAGTCATCTTTTTGATAAGAAACACGAATTTATCTTCAAACTCTGGAATCTGAATCAGTATCGAATACTTGAGTATTGATAGAAATTTGAGTTGGATCAAGACATATTTAGTGAAGATATCGAATATATTAAAACAGTAATACAGCAACACTAATAATTATAATACCTTGTAAGATGTTTAATAGCTCATTCAGATCTACGCTGTGTGCAAATATTGGATCAAAAAAACGATTGAACACCTGGAGAAGTTCTCACGAGAGTCAAATATTTCCATCACGAATCATTCCTGTCAGTTTTTAGTAGAACATCATTATGCATCGAGCAAACACAAACACTCATTAATAAGCTTTGTCAGTATAACATGAGTCTCTTCGATCTGTCAAAACATCACACAGACTGTAGATATTCGTCGTCAACACATTTGATTGAAACTAAGTAGATAAGAGAACACTGCTTAACTGCCAACAAACAATATCTAATAGTAAAAACAACCCTCTTGTTCCATCTATCACATTTCATTTTCATAGTCACTCATAACTAGCATCCTCTGATCGTCTTCTAAAGTCTCTAATTAGTTTCATCGAAGATCATTAAGTACCAAATATCTATTTTAAAGACAAAAGCATTATATTCGATCCACCTACTACTTCCAATTCTGTTCAATCACTGGGATCTCACAAAGTGACATAAATATTAGACTATTTAATAACTATATTGATAACTTATGTTTTTTTGAAATAAATACGAATTTGAATGCAAATCAAACTATGTCACACTCATTGTGTGATCATAAAATTAATAATGTACATGTAGATCTTTCTGAACAAGAAATACAAATGTTTAGTGCTTCTGTTGAAAACATAATTACATCCGATTCCTTTTATTAGGACTAAATTCATTCATGCATTCGTGGCAATTACAGCAAAAATTAAGTATTTTTCAATATAGGAAGACATTATCGCTTTTCTCTTCATCAACATCATCGTGTGACCATCATGATAAATAGGAACAATCGTATATATAGTATTCTCTACAAAGATGTTGCTTGTAACAATATTATTTTCCTTTGGAAAAAATGCAGTAAATTTCCTACATTTATCTTATTCTTATAGTATTTGTTTTTATTATATGAAACTTTTGTCCACTACTAAAAAAATGAATCAACTAATCTTTTACTTTTTTCCTCAGTGCCAGATTAAGTTAATGATTGAAATTCAATTTCACAAATTGTAAAATAGTGATATCAAATACTTTTTTCTCAACATTTTTTCCTCATCCACAACTTTCTCAAAACGAGTTATCACAATTTGTTGATTAAACTGTTCATAACAAACTAATAATTTTGTAAACATTTTATAAAAATTTATGAACACTTCATATATTAACTAAATACTAGTATTTGTTTTGAGTATCAGTATCATAAAGGAGTGCAACTACACTTCCATCGTTCGTATGATTGAGATGAATTAATATAACAGCTACGGTGTATAACCTTAGAAACTGAAGTAAAATCCCCATGTCATTTAATCATCAATAATATATGTCTCAGTCTTCCAGAAAACTGAATTTAATAATACAAAAATTTCTATAATAACGATAGTGAATCAATATGATAGCTGACGCATTGTTTTTCTCTATACATAATTGTTGAAATCTATTTCAATATGGGTTTTGATCTAACAATATTATATAAAATATAGTGGCTGCATCTATTCGAGTAACACACTTATTAATTCTGATGGATATATTATATCAATTATATAATGAGTAAACTAATCATTGCAGTATAAAATTCACAAGTTTCTAACATTTTAAACTTAAGTGACTTAGAATTTTTTCGATGAACCAGAGTCGATTTCATATAAATACAAAAGCCTATTCCGATAAGTCACAACTACTGTATTGTGCCAAAAAAAAACAATGTCTCTCACACAATTTATTCAATCATAAGAGTTCATGAAACGAATATAAAGTATAGATTTTCTAATATATGACTTCACGCATATATTGAATTAAAATAAAATCTTGCATCTAAAAAAGTGAAAAAAATTCTTTCGATCAATTTAGTTAAATACAAACTATAAAAAGGCTCTCAAGCTATTTTCATCAACATATCAGATAAAAGTTGGGTTCTTGAGCTAGAATTAAAAAGAACTTGTGTCTTTTTACTTTGATCATTCAGTTTTACCTAGCCTGATCATATAATTTATCTATAAGGAAAGAAAAAAAACTCATGATTTCAATTGATAAAAAAGATATAGTTTGGTTTGTAAACAACCATTTACAACAGCAATAAATCCTGTGAGTCACCTGAGAGAAAATTCTCGCATATTGAGAAATGTTATGCCAAAGTACTTGGAACAGACGAGGATAATTCTTATGTTGTTTTCTAAGAGTGAAATTATTAGATGCTGTCATGTTTCCTAGTAAAGAGCATAAACTAGAAGATTTGATCCAGAAAAAATCAATCGTTTTCTTTTTGAATTAATCTTGTTTATTGATGAATAGATGAAACTAAAACAAAAAGCTTGTTAGTGCAGCCACTTTGGGGCTGAAATGTGGAACTCACATATCTCCTTTGGTTTCATTATACTAATGACAAAATACCCAATATTTAAAATCTCCAAAAGATAATAGTTCTTTTCTAAAGATAATCGATTATTAGAAAATGCTATGTTTTTATCTCTCAATTTCGAACAGACTTTTTTTTTCACGAAGTTGCCAAGGTCTGTAATGGGGGGTACGTCTGTAATGTTCTCTTTCCCGCTGCTATGTATATATAATGGGGTGGGGGGAGGGGGAGAGGGAGGAAGCCGCCAAACCTCGAACTGAAAACTTACACTCACTATTTTCTTCGAAAACATACGTGAGTTCCACAAAATGAGACTACAATACAAGTATTAGTCAGTTCCAAGAGACTAGAAATCCATCATTGTTGGACTGCGTGCATCGCCAAGCCAATAAGAACCATGGCAAATACCATCATAGTGTTTGCGGGTTGCTGGTTGCCACCGGATCCATTCCCTTCACTTTTTTTCTTAGCTTTGCCATTACATTCTGGATGAAGCTGGTTCACAGCCGTAATGGTCTGACCATCCGCGCTGAGCGTAAGTATCAACTTTTTACCACTCATATCTATATTAAGGAGGTTG